TGGGTCCTTTTTTGGGCTTATTTTGCCCAGAAAGAGGTACCCAGACTGTCTGTAACTCTTTGTTTTTATTGTCTCATTGTCCGAATTCAAATTGTCCAAATATTTATTACTCTAATTATATTACTATTTTAATAGCTATTTTATTACTACTAAACTTTTAAAATCTTAAAAACAAGCGATGGGCGTTTTTCACACTCTCACCCCTAAAACCACCCACAAAGGAGATGCGGGCAACATGAACCCTTCACCCCCTGCCCTGCTCAGGCTGGCTCCGGGATGGAGCCGCTGCTAGAAACGGCAGCGTTTATTAATTTTAACCACCTCCCAGCTCGTAGTGCGAAACCCAAACCCCAGAAACGCCGGGGGTGGAGAAAAAGCCTCAAAGCAGCGGCGCTTGGGGCGCATCCTATGGGGAACATCCCGTGAGGCGCGGGGCCCTTCCCGCCGTGAGGCGAGGCCTGCCCGCCGCCGAGGGCACAGCGCCGCCTCCCGGCCCGCGGGGGAAGCGCCATGAGGAGCCCGCGTCCACCCCACATTTGTTGTCTTATATATTACTATATATCAACAGTTCTTTTATCATTATGGCACAAGGGTTCTATATCCTCAGAGCTTCATACCTCCTCAATGTGCCTCATAGGCAGATCCTCTGAGCACTGACTGTTCCTGGTCCTTGCAGCAGCCATCTGACTCTAGTTCCCACCAATCCACTCTTTTATGCCACTAGTTCCTATTGGCTACAGGTGTGGCCTGTTATCATCTGGCCTGCTCCTAATCTTTAGTAATAGGGTCCAGCTGCAACTCTCTGGGGGATAAGATTACATTCTGGATTACCCATACTGTGTCCTCCTACAGGCAGGAGAACACGGGGGTCCTGGGGCTCTTGCCAGGCTTCGGGCTGGGGGCTGAAGGATTTTACCCCATGGTAGGGGTAAAATCCCTCCTGAGCCCCCCAAAACCTCACCAGCTTGTGTTGGGAACAAGACTGAGCACACTGTTTGATCCCTGTCAACCACCACACCAAGTCCTGCATTTTCTCAGGCTGAAATGCCCAGCTGCCCCCAGCACCCCTGGATTTATGGGAGGCTCATTCTGTCAAGTAGTGCCCCATCAGACAAGGCTGAAGGAAAGGAGCTGCCCCTCCCTACCTGCAGCCTGAACAGATGACCTTACAGCCCCTGGCACTGCTGAAGGTGCTCTGTTCTGGAAGGGCAGAGACCTCAGCAAGGTGTAAAGCTTTCTTTGTTGCACTAATGTAAATCCTGGCCCCTCTTCTCTATATTGGGTTTATGAATCAATTAGTTTATTGATGCATAAGGTGGCAGGCAGCTGTGGGCTTTGCTTCGGGGGTGCAGTAAAGCCAGGCAGGGAGGCCAAGCCAGGCTCTTGCTGTGCCATGTGCTGCTATGTGCCATGGCTCATCCCAATCCTCTGATAAATCCCAGGATCAGCAGCACTCAGCCACAAGGAGTTTCTTCTCCTGACTTACTCCCTTTTCCTCTTGAGAGGAATAGGATGAATGTGTCTTTACAGACCATGAAAATCTGCTTGTAGATAGGGCCAGAGACTTAAAGATAGGGGAGGAATGGGAGAAACTAGAAAATGTTGCCAATTGACACAGACTGCTGCTCAGCCAAGGCCATGTTAAATTCCTGAACTTGGAGAAGAAGAACAAAGACTGAACGGAATGATGAATGTTGCTTTGTTATAGATACAAAAAAGGAGGGATGTGCATATTAGAGGGGGACATGCAGTAGGGAAGTCTGTACCTTCCAAGTGCCTAAGCCAATTGGGAAAGGAAGAGGGTGTTGTGACCAGGAAATTAGGATAAAAAGGAGGCTACATTCTCCAACAGTTTGATAGACACTAGGGGAAATGCCCCATGGCCATTCCCTTTACTCAAATAAAGTTACAGGACTCCTCTGTCTCCTTTCTGGACATAAGCCTCTGGCACTGTGAATTTTTCTGCATACTCTCCACCACAATGTCATGGTGTTTCCTCAACTCTCAAGAGAGGTTTTCACAGAACAGGGCCTTTACTCTCTGTTTTTGCATTTTAGGGTGCAGCTGGGTAAGTTTTGGAGGTTTTTGTTTTCCTCTGAAGCTAGGAAGAGGAGTCACAGACCAGAGAGACCCCAAAAACTGGACCTATAAGTAAATCATGAGCTGTCAGTTCTGCTGGAGTGAGCTCAGCAGCCAGACAGGAAACTCGTTTGCATTCCCACAGCCCAGGAGAGACCGCTGGTGCACAGGCAGCAGCCTCACATCCAGTGTCCTGCCAGCCCTGCCTCAGACCAAGAGGTTTCTAGTCTCCAAATTCCACACTGCAGGGTTTCTCCTGCAGTTTCTTTTGGAGGATCCGTGGTGAGCCAGGTCTGGTCCCCAGGCTGGGCTGCTCCTGAGGGTTAGGGCACTAAATCTGGCTTTAGTCACATCTATGCTAGAACAGCTCCTGCTGTCCTGTGCTTGCACAACCATCCAGGAGGGAATGGAGCTGCCTTCAGGCTCTACAGCCTGATTCCTTCTTCCCTGCAGAAACAACCTGGGGTTTTTTGTGGTCCAAACCCTCTGGCCCTGCCCACAGTGCAGCTGAGAGGGAGAGGAGCCGGGGGAGTGTTTGGCTGTGCCCAGCAGCTCGGATTCTCCTGGGTGCTTTGGGATTCTCCAGAGCAGGAATCACAGGGTGGCACTCAGAAACCACTCAGTGGGAGCCAAACACGTTCCAAAAAAAATTGGAGCTGCCTTCAGTGGCCTTCCCTGCAGAAGGGGGATGGAGGAATTCAGGCCTCTCTGGGAAGCAGCTCCCACTGAGCCTGGGCCTCCCACAGCCCCAGTTCTGCTCTCCTCCTGCCCTGTTCCCTGCAGAGCCAGTTCCTGTTTGTCAGGATCTGTTCCCAGCACAGGGTCCTTCCCTACTCTTGCTTTTATGCAGCACTGCTGGAGCCTGATTCCCCCCCACCCCATGGACATGAAAAGCTGTTCCAAGGCTGCCAGAAGCTGCACAGGGCAGACACTGACTGCACACCAGGGGAATGCTTCCCATATGCCTTTATTTGCAATGTTACAGGACTTTTTTACAGGCACTGTGCATTGGTGTTCCAGACCAGTTTGGAATTTTTTTTCTGTATTACCCAATGACCAAGAGGTGTGGTGGGAGCAGGGAAAATCCCTCACAGCAACCATTCCAGCCTCCAGGAAAGCATAAGACATCTGAGAGCAACAATCTGCTTCTTCTGAAGCCACAAAGCGAGGGATCTGGTTTATAAACAGGCTTAAAAAATAACGTACATATATAAGAGCAGCTCGAAGCTAAAGTACAGCAGTAAGTGGTACATAGCTACATAGCATATCTGTTCACACCCTTTCTCCAAAGTTGGAAAAGGCATGGCTTAAAAACTAAAAAAACACAGTTAAAAAAAAAATATTCCATGCATTACATTTTAGTGTTTTGTGCAATTAAAATGGGATGAAAATAAATATAACTTAAAAAAAAAAAAACCAACCTTTTCCATGACACTAATGGAACAGAGGCAAAGTCTATAAGGCACTTCCACATGGGCTAGTCTAGAAAGCCTGGCAAGGAGCTAAAACAGTGCAACCATTTACAATGGCATCTGATAAGCACAAGACACCTGTCTGGTGAGCTATGAACTGAGAAAAACCTTAGGAAACTTCAGTCCTTGGGGAAGAGGCTTGGCTGCAGATGCCTTGGTGGCCAACTCCTCCTTATTGCTGCAAGGGAGGTCTCCTCCTTGGGTGCTGGACCCATCAAACTATGGCAGAGGGGCTCTGGAGCCCTGCTGCTGGGGAGTGAGAGGGGACAGTAGGTTTGGGGATGGATGGATGGAGCAGGTGAGGGATCCATGGCTGCCAAGCTCCTGCACCACCCCCTGTGCTGCAGGTTCCTCGAGGCGGGGGCTGCCGCAGCCTCCCCTCCCCGCCAGCCTCTCCAGGGATGACCTTTGGCGCAGCAGCCCTGCCACTGCTCGCTTCAAATGTTCCAGGAAGTTAAAAAATAGCCTCCACCCTAAACAGGGAACTGGGTGTTTTCACAGGAGCAGGAGCACAGGGGCCCTCACACGGCCCCAGCAGCACAGCCACAGGCAGCTCTGTGGAAAAAGGGGGAGGCACAGGGATGTCTGATCCCAGCTTTGCTTTGCCAAAGGTGTCTAAGCTGGGTGCTGCCTTGCTGCTGTGAGCCTTCACCTGATGCAGATGGAAATTATGGACACGCTCCAGGCAGGAGGGTCGCCCTGGGCTAGGTGTGAGCATTGGTGGCGCTACACGTGTGCTCAGCTGCTGACAAAAAAGACTGATCGACCTGGATGGCCACTTTAGGTCTCATAGTAGTCCTTTATGAGCTATTTTTCTCAGCTAGGGAGGATTGGAGACCCCAGCTAAGGCAGGCTGGAAGCAGTTCCTAGCGAGGGAGCTGAGGCTCTAGAGAGGAGCCCAAAGTTTTGCTCACCAGGGCACTCAGCATGGGGAATGTGGGTGGGAAGCACCTGGCCATGGCAAATACCTGTGCCTGACTACATGGCTCTGCAGCAGGAGGGAAGCCCTGGCCCTCCAGTGCCACTCAAAAATAACAGCAACCTCTACAAGATGTCTTGAACACAAATTAAACCCCAAATCTGCCCTTCTAGCAGCTCTCTGAAGGACTTGGCACAGCCAGCTCCCTGGGCTGAAAGGTGCTGGCAGAGACAACCAAAGGGCTCCCACTACAGTGTCCTTCACCATCTCCACACCTCGCTCACGCTCTCTGACTGCCAGAGGGTCCCGGGCATGGTCACTGAGTGTTTTCAGGATGATCCCGGTGAAGGAAGAGGCTCCTTCCTCTGCCAGCCCTCTTAACATCAGGCTGAGCAAGAGACAAAAGCACGACAGGCAAAGCATGCCCTTGCCCCTGGCCACCTGCTCCCACTGACTCTGCAAAGCCAAGGTTTCAAGTTCAGCTTTTGTTCTGGCAGGTTAGCTCTCTATTTACGGGGGGGGGGGGGGGGGGGGGAACAACCAAGACAACCTAAAAAAAACCACAACAAAAACACATTAAATAGGGAGAGTATAGCTTTCAAACAGGGAGGGCGAGGGCTGGAAAGTGTCTTGTAGTGCAGTTCAGAAGAGTCAGTCGGGGGCAGGCTGGGGGGTAGTGGCAGAGTTGGATGCGCAGCTTTAATGCAAGTCTTCGCTCTGGGACAACTCTGTCAGGATCTGAATGAGGTTGTCCAGCCCCCAGAGGTAGCCATCCTCTCTGTTCCCTTCCACCCAGGGCACGTTGTGCTGCAGAACTTGTCCCTCTGGCAGTGGGGTGGTTTTCCCAAAGTCAATCATCCAGACTTTGGCTTGTTCCTGCTTGTCGTGAATGAAGAGGAGAGAGCTCCCAATTACCTGTGGAGAGGTGAGACCAATTAGTGGTGCACCTGTTGTTCATTTTCAGCCCTCTTTGGGGCTTTTAGACACCTTGCCTCAGTCAGGCTGCATTTCCAAGAGATGCTGCTGCAATTTTGCATGAGGAAAAGCAAGCTCTGTGTGCCACCGGTTGTGTTTGCACATGCAAATGGGGCACTTGGACAAGCTGATTTACTCATACAAATCCCAGGTCTTGGCAGAAGGAGAGGATCAGAAAAACATGGGCATGAAAGATAAAGATGTCACTTTGGAAAATGGGCTAAGGTCCCTTAGCAAGGAATGAGATGAACTGTCTCAACCTTCAGATGGGGATTTTTTTCTTTGTGATCAGCCTGTGCTCTTCGCACTCACCAATCCTGCAGACACCCCTGCAGGGATGGGGACAGACACTCCAAGTACAAGTAACTTGCAACCTGCTGTCTCCTGCTTCAAACACCATTGAATTACACCAGACTGCCCCTAGAATATCCTCCTGGCACTCACAGCACTCTGGGGATGCAAAGTATAGAGCTGCATGGATTTCCTTTTCTCTGAGTTCACTTGGCTGCCTCTGCTTTGAATGGCTCCTTCATATCCATCCTGAACAGCCTTGGGGGAAATGCTGCAGCAAGCAGTGGCCTGGGCAAGACCAGGGAAGCCAAGAGGTGTATTTGGGCTCTGACAGCAAAAGTCTCAAGGCCTGTTGCAGTGGGATGAGACCCCACAAGCCCAATGGTCACCACACACAAAGCAGAGAGATGCTCAGCAGCTCAGCATCCTGACCCACCCTGGCTCACAGTCCCAGCCAGGCTGAGAGCCAGCAGCAGCTCTGCTGTGGCTTCCCAGTGCTTAGGAAATGTGTATTAGTATCAAGCCAGTCACCATCGTGCTCTTCTGCTTAATCTCTTCTTCCAGTCAGAAGATTTTAGCAGGGGCTTATACAGAAAAGCACCGATGGGTGGATTTCAGAGCTGTTCCAAATGAAAACTGCTTTCCAAATTCTGATATGAGTGAATTGGTGAAATACAGACTCACCTGCCCCTATGTCACAAATAGGGACCTTGGTGACCAGAGTGCAAGGGCTGTAGCAGAGGTGATGCAGAGCACTGAGAGCCACGAGTGCCCCTTACGGTGTGTAGGTACACGGAAGAGAACCCAGCTGGTGTCAGCCCTCCAGACCAGCAGCACTAGATGTTACTGGGGACTCCCACATCCCTGCTATCAGCAGGGCTTAGCCTGAGGTTTGCCTTTAGACAAGGGTTTTGAACAGGATGCACATAGTGTTTGCAAAAGCTGTTATGAATTTACATTTTTCAGGAGACTTTTTCCTCCAGTGTGTTGGGAAAGCGTCCAAGGTCCAGAGATGCGTATTATTTCCAAGAAATGCTTATCTTTAGCTCTCCTCCTGCTAACCTCTGTCTTGGCCAGGACAGAGCATTCTAAATTTAAGGAAAAGCCTTTTGCTGACATTCCTCATTTGTGTGTCCTGGACTGCTCAATTCCCTTGCAGCTCCTTGGAGGAGCCCTGCTCAGCAAGGGCCTCATGGAGGGACACAGAGCTTGGCAGACCTTCTGCTGTGCTTCATCTCAAAGTGGGATGGAAAGTCAAAGCTGCTGCTTTTTAATTTTTAAGGAGTGGAAACTCCTTTCAAACCCTCTTTGAAAGGCTGCTTTGTTTCTGTGTTTTCAAATGAAACCCTGGCACTCAGTTTCAGGGAGAATTTTGTTTCCTGTGTTGAACTGCCCTGAAACCCTCAGTTTTGACATTTCCCTTCCAACTGCCTTCCAGGCACTGCCACCAGGAGGCACAGCCCCATCTGCCTTTGGCTCCTGGCAGGACTCTCCGTGTCTGGCTGGGGCTGAGGTGCCTCTGGATGAGGGACAGTGGGCTCTTGGAGCTGTGGCTCCTGAGCCCTGGGACTCAAAGATTCCTATGAGGCTCTTTATTCCTACACCACACATGACAAGGATACGTACTCTCATGTTTTGTTAAGTAAATGTAACAGCAAAATTATTGCATTAAATTGTGGAGCATTTCAGTTCTTGAAATGGCCAAAAAAGATAGTGTTTCCTCCTTGTTTTCCCATCTGCACTGAGTCTTCACTATAGAAAATGCTGGTATCGTGGGCACTCATTTCTGTATGAAATTCCTTTGAAAGGCAGAGTTCGTACTGTGGTGCCCCAACCAGCTCAGGAAAGGCATCTTTGGGGTATCTGCAATTTATGGCTGTATTGAAGCCTTGTTTGATCATGTGGAGCAACTGTCAGCCAAATGATACCTGACATGCATTCAAATAGACATTTCTCCTGAGAAAACCCCTGTGATTTTACACTAGGGAATCTTCCCTGTCATAAACAGCCCGAGTTCCTCCTAGATCACTTTTAATCTGTTTGAACATTGGCTTTCAGTGGATTTGAGCCCATGTCAGATGCACAAACATTGTATGCTATCATCTATATTTGCACTTAAGTATTACATACACACATGAAAATACAGATATAAGATTAAACCAGCCCCTGACTTTGACTTCTCTCCTTGGACAAGCTAGGATTAAACAGTTTGCCTCTCCAGACAGATCTATATAAACAGCAGAATTACCTCATGGCACTTGAAGAACGGAGATGTCTCCAGGGTAGCGCGGATACCCTTCAACCGGTTAAGGTAACTGTTCTGGAATTACAAAAAAAAACCCAAATCCAAGGCATTAGTGTTGCAGGAAACCTACATAAAAAGCACTGCATTGGGGCAGACAGGAAAGTCACCCCCATGCCCAGCATCCTCCCACAGACCTTTCATTCTGGAGAGTTTTTTATGATCCACTTTTCCTTTTGGTTTCTACAGCACCCTGAGCTCCTGTGGCTTTCAAAACTTAGTGAAAGCATCTGCTTTTGCTGAACTGGTGCTTTCTGCAGAGTGCCCCTGCTGCATCCATGGTGGGAACACTAGTTCAGCAGCTGCTACTTCTTCCTCTCCCCTGCACTCCCTTCATAGATCAACTCTTCACTTCATCTTTCTTTTTAGCACTCAGGCAGTCACACATCACGAGACCCTTCTGCAACTCTGTTATCAGCACTTTTGCAAAGCTGGTCCCGTGGGCAGAAGGGCTTTCACCATGGCCAGCACACGGGTCAAGAACCACAAGCCTGTTTGAGCATCCCTGCCAATTGCTGAAGGCACTAAACATTCTCAGGGGGCTCCACTGATTTTGGGGTTTATATAGCAGAATCAAGCACAGAAACACACACACAGCAAGTATCTGAGCACTGTAAAACACTTGCAAGGGGAAAGGTGGGATTGCTGTACAAAAATGCACTGGCCAAGGAACCCCACCCAGAGCCATGGCATGATGTGTGCTCCAAGTTCTTTGGGGTTAAAATGCAGCCAGGCAACTTCACCTTCAGATCCAGGAAAATCCCTGGGTAACTCTTGTGAAAGCAAGCATGCCAGTTTGAAGGAGACAGTGCCAAGGGCCACTCCAGCTGGAGCCTTGCACTTGGAAACTTTATACAGTGCAGCTTAAAATGGGAGTGCTTTGTCAAATAGGTTATTTGACACAGTTAGTGTAAATTGTTTACATTCTCCTGGCAACTTAGGGAAGCTTGGAAAACGCTGCCTGTGGCTTGCCCATGTGAAGTGTGCCTGGCACAGGATCACCCTGCTGCGAGAAGGGCACAGACAGCCCCCCATGCAGGATGGGAGCCCCCAGTACACATACTGGGGTACAGAGAGGGCTTGGGGTGACCACCAGCCCAGGGGTGAGGGACAGAGCATGGCTGTGACTCCTCAGTGGGTTTTGGGAGCCAATCCTGGAGATCCTCAGCAGACTCAGACTCAGACTCAGACTCGGGTCAAGCAGCGCTGCTACAGCCAAGTCCCCTCCCAGCTCTCCACTGCACCAGGACAGTGTTTCTCTTCAACATTTCTCATGCTTTTTAAGAGACATTGCTTGGGCTTCAGCCCTGCAGGCCAGGGACCTGATGAGCTGAGGCCAAGCTCCATGGAAATGCCCTCTCCAGGCAGTGCCCCCAACATCCCCCACTCACCAAAACATTCCTGTTTCCTCTGGTGAACTCGCTGAAGGCCTCCATGACTTGTTCCTTTGTCCGTGTCTTCTTGAAGTCCCGGTTCACAGTGCCGTCCTCTTTCTTGAAAAGAAGGGACAGGGCTGAGTTGGGTGGGGAGGGAGTTGGGGCAGGAGCAGTGTCTTTGCAGCCATGCATGTTGCCAAGCAGGATGTGACCAGCGTTTTTGGCAGCTGAAGGGTCTGTCTGTGGAGCAGGGGTGAGCAGAGGCAGCAGGTCTCTGCTTGCACATCCCAAGTTATCCCACAGCCCCAGTGCATTCATCTCTAATGCAAACAGAACTCCCCATCATCAAACACTTGCCCAAGGTCACTGGCAATGTGGACAAACTCTCCTCACAGACTCACAAACTCTCCAGGTGCTTGCTGCTAACAGAGGCTGGAGACCACCTGTATCTGGTGTTTCTGTGCCCAAATGGCTTCCCATGGCTGCTGTGGCTGAGAATGGCACTGACACCAGCCCTGGACTGTCTCCCTGGCTTGGGGAGGACAGCAGAGCATGATCATAATGGGACAAAACTGAGCGTGGATGGGAAAGACATCTCAGGAGCAGGAGCAAAACTGCTCTGTGAGAAATCCTCCTTAAGGACCATTGCAGCAAGGAGCAAGCCCATGGCTATCTGGCCTCACTTGATAGTCCAGGGATCACAAACCCTTCAAGGCAGCAGCCTGGCACTGAGATGCAGTGAGCAGCCTTGTGCTCTCCTCTGCCTTTTCCCGAGGCACATCCATCCTTGGCCTGCCAAGGCATGGCTTGCCCACTGCAGGGACAACACTCAGCCCTGGCCCAGAGGCTCCTGTCTGAACCTCTGGGCAGCTTTGTAGGTCCCTCTCCATTTCCCTGGTCCTTCTGGGGCTCTGACTTTTACATCAACTCATTTCATTGTCCAGAGGGGCCCTGGGACAGGCAGGCAGATCTCACTTCCTGGATACAGGGGCTATTCTAAACCACACTTGCTCATGCTCACAGCTCCATTGCAGGGCTCCATCCCACTGCTCCAGACAGCTCATTTGCACACAATACAGCAAAGGGACAGAGGCCAAAAGACATCCTATGGGCTGGGGAAGATGAAGGATGAAGAAGCAGAGCAGAGTCTGGGGGAGGAAGAAGGCACAATGAAATCACCTGCCCTGGAGGTTTCAGACCCATCCAGGGAAGTGGCCCAGCACAGGGCAATGTACATCCTCCTGGAGAGGTGGCTTGCTGTGGGCATGGTGGCCAGTCCAACCTGGGGGAAGGTCAAGTGCCCAAGGCAAGCCTGCCACCAAACCAGCACCTGAAGTGCAGTTTGGGATGAATCACACAGCACACTTCAGCTTCCAGCTTGTGTTTTGTGTAAGCATTAACAAAGGTGGTAACAAAAGCAACATAGAAAAGAAAAACTCCAGGAAAAGCTTTGTTTGTACCAATTGCACTGACTGCACCCAGCTTCAAATCACCCTGGACTCAGCCTGACCATTGTGCTGCCACAGGGTCCAAAAGCAATGCTCAGGGCTGGCAGAGTGTGTATTGGCAGGGGTCAGGGACAACCTTTTCGCTGGAGACTGTGCTGCAGAGCTGGGATCTCTGCTCTCAGCTGTGACCTTGCTGAGGATGCTCTGGTGGCACGTGTGTGGCGTTTGGGGGAAGGGCACTTTGCTGCTGTATGTCCCTCCTGTGAGCCCCTGACGTGGCAGCTCAGAAATGAACCCACCCTCTCCCAGGGGGATGATCAATATCAACCTGGAGAAGGGCCACAGCACTAATTCCACGTGTAAAGAGCACAACTTTCCACAAAGCATCCAAGAAAGGAGATGGACTTCTAAGTGCTCCTAAAAATAAACACAAATCACAGATGGCCTTTCCGATAAGGCAATCTCAGCTTCAGGAAGGCCAAGCAGCCTATCCCTAGTGCTGCTCCCGCCTCCTGCAGCTTCCTTGCCCAGCCAGAGGTTGCTGCCACCAGGCTTGACAGCTGCCATGACACTCACAGGTATCTGAGCCCCCAGGGGGCTGCCTTCCACGCAGGAGCAATGTGAGGGGGGCTGATAAAGGCTATCACTACCTCCGCCCCAGCAGCGATTCCAGCTCGCACTGGCGTCACTGGGGCAGGGCTCAGGTCAGCCAAATCTCTGCACACTTAGGGGGAGGCTTTCCTGGCTGGTTTTGGGACCCTGCAAACATTCCAGCCCTGTGGAATGCCATCCCACAGTGGCCTTGCTGCAGGCAGTGGTGAGTAAGGCTCAGAGCAGGGCAGCAGCTCGGGAGTGTCACTTCTTTCAACTGGGCCACCAGGGATCACTTGTGATACTTTCAGTATGGAAATTTTATTAATAGCTACTGTTTCCAACAGGTTCAAGCTATTCCAGAAAGTCAGATGAAAGTCATTATCTCCTTTTGCAAAGGAAAATTTCCATTTTAAAGAGGAAGAACTGGATCTTCAAGGCCACCTGGGAAAGGGAGAGCTCACTCAAGAAAGGGTTGCTATCCTCATGGCAAGCCCTGAGCTGCCTGTTTGCCTTACCTGACTGTGCTATCCAAAAAGCTTCCACTGCTCCCCTCCTTCCTTCCTATAACCCCTTCCCACATGTCCAGGGTCAAATCCTGTCCTTCCCTTGCACTTCTCAGAGCTCTCCTCTGGCAGCCCCCATCCATGAGCGAGGGACAGGGCAGATTCACCACTGCTCTCCCCAGGGAAGCATCCACAGCAAGAAATAAAACAAGGGAAGACACCAATGGCACCTTCCCTGACACAGAAACTCAATCCCAGAAACAGGGATAACAGCAGGGATACAGCAGAGCATGACTAGCCCTGTTGGAAAAAAAAGCCAGCTGTGAAACAGCATGAACTGCTAATGCTTTAGCTTAGGGGAAAATAACCCAGAAGCTGAGGGATTTAAGGAGAATTACAGTAATTAGAGCCTTGATCAAATTAGTCAGCCCCCTAGCAGCAGCAGGAATACTGCTGGAAGCCAGAACTTCTCAACATTTTTCAATTAAAGGGCTGCTTCACCTCTTTGAAAAAAAAATCTACTGCTCAGATCAGGCAGCAACTTGTTTATGGTTGGCTAAACAGAGGTACAAATCTCATAACTCCTTTATGGCTTTTATTTCCCTTCACAGGGTTTTTTGGCCTCCCTGGGGATATGATTTGTTTGGGGTTTGTTTTGGGTTTTTTTTTTTTACATTTTTTAATTTCAAGTGCTTCATATATAGCCTGCCCCCTAAACATGCCCAGACTGGGAAGCACCACTGGAGGCCAAGGATATATCATGCTGGACTATAAATAGATATTTCTGCTTACACCAAGAAAGCAGGGGAAGAACCAGTGCATGGGAGCTTTAGTCCCAATTGGAAATGCTGCCAAGGAAGTCTAAAAAATCTGTTGTGAGGGCTTTATTGGGGACCAGCTTCACTTGTTTTAATTCTGTCATTTTGACACTGCTATCTTCAGGCAGGAGGTTTGGCTACAGAAACCCAGACAGGCACTCTGGGAGAATTCTGCCCAACTTGGAGAGGAGAAAAATAATCTGTGATCAAGAGACAGAAACTCCTCCAATCAAGACACATGCAGGTATGAGCCACTGTTTCCACTAAGAGCAAGTGGCTGCTCTGAGCTACTGCCTGGGCCCTCAGCAGCTACCCAAGCCTGAATTACTGCAAACACAACTTGACAGAGCTCCCCGTGGCTGCCAAGGCAACACCATGCCCAGGCATGCAATGAAACCCTTGGCTCAAGTGTGCTATTAGCTTTAATTCACACTGGCTGGCTAGCAAAAGGCATAGGCCACTGCTGGTGCTCATGCAAGCAGTATCACTAATACTCTATGCTTACAGACCTAACTGTTCAAGTGCCATCCCAACATCTTTCTCACCTCCCTGGAGAAAATCTCCTGGGCTGGCTCACCTGCTGGGGACACAGAAGCATCCCAGCTGGTGTCTCCAGAAGTGTGAGTGCTGCTCTGAGCAGGAGCAGTCAGCAGCTTACACGTGCATGCAGGTGCTGGCAGAAAGTGCAGCTGTGTGTGCTTGTCCCATTTCATGGGGTTCAGCTGCTGAATCTTCCTTACAGGCTGGTAAACACACCCTCCTTACTGACTGTGGCTGAGCTCACAGCTCCAACCACAGATGGGCACACGTTCAAGCTGGGATTTGGATTAGTGGCTCAGCCCAGTGGCAGAGCAGAATTGAAAGCAAACAACTAATTTGAGTCTTCGAGTTGGAGGATGGCACTTTGTATTTTGCAGGGAGGGAGAAATCAACCAAGCAGCTGATGTAATGAGATTATGTCTAAAACCATCCTCAGGATGATGCCCTGAGCTCAGCTGCATTCTCAGAGGAGCAGCAGTGCCCTGGGTGAGGTGCCTGTGAGGTGCTTTGGCTGCAGGGGCTGGGGATGTCCAGATGTGAGCTGCTCTCACATGTATGAGTCTGCATGTATGTATGCATGATAAGACTGCATCTATGTAGAAAAAGACATCCCAGTGCCCTGAAACAACTTCCCTTCCTGCTCCCCTTGAAACTCTCCCTGAATTCTCTGGTACAGCTGTTTTCTTATTTTGATCAAACCTCAAATTTACCACTGTTTACCTTGTCCTTTTGGAGCATTAAAAAGAGAAAGCACCTAAATTTCTTTATTTTTAATATATTTCTGGGTAATAGCTGTAAACTTTGCCACGATCCCAACTGAAGAGCTTACCTTAGCCCAAATTCAAAGAGCAGTAGGAGCCTTGACCCAGATTCAGGAAAGCATGTGGTTAAGCACATCCTTACACTCAGGAGAGCACTTCATGATGGAAATAAAGGCAGCCAATGACTGATGCTCATCTACACCTTTCTTGAACCGATTTCTTTTAATTTATTAATTAATTTAATTTGCTCTGTGTGTGTACCTCTGTGAGTTTGGCTGGTGAGCTGTTCCCCTGCTCTGCACACTGGCCAGACTCACCTTGATGCCCTCGATCCTGAAGCCCAGCGTGGCGGTGGAGCTGATGGTCTCCCTCCACTGCATGTAGCGGGGCTTGGTCACGGCGCGCAGCACGTTCTCCTCCTCAGTGGGGGCGTCAGGGTCTACCTCAATCATCTTCTGGTACATGTCCTTCCTCAGGCTCGGCTTCTTCCGGGCCTTTATCAGCTCCTCCTCCAGGTACGTTCTGCAGGGAGTGAGGGGGTGTGTGAGCAGGGCACCACATGAGGTGCCATACACCCACAGACAGCCCTCAGCCCAGAAATCAGGCTGATCCAGGAGAGCTGATCCCTAAGGAGTAGTGCAGCATAGGAAATGATGGAGCAAGCCTCATTGTGGCTGAATTGATCCTGATTTAATTATCACTCCATCATCCAGACCTGATACCTCTTCAGTTCATCAAGGAACCACAACCAGTCTGGCAATAACAAGGGAAGTTATTTCTCTTGCTGCTGCCACCCCAGCAGCCTCCTCGTGCCATCCCTTGCCCTGAGCTTACCCCAAAGTTCAGGAAACCTGAGCTAAACATGACTTTCAAGATATGCCTAGGAAACTGTGCACATGCTCTGGGAGCCAGCTGAATTGAAGACAAGAAGGACATTACTGTGTCCCATCCTTCAGCATCAGCTGCTGCTCCCTTTGAGGATCAGCCAAAGCTGCTCCTGTGCCTCTCCTGTGCTTTTGCCTTCCCTCACTCTGTGCACCACGAAGGCTCTGCCTCACCAGATGCTAAATTGGGTGTTTTTCTGGGGATGATTTTGCCCAGTATAGGTCTGCTTCAAGTGGACTTCCTAGCAAAAGCTTTCTCTTTAAGATGAAGCACAGGAAGGGATGCAACCTTGGCCAGGTGCTTACCACCACCCCAGGTCCACAGGGTGCAGCCAGGATGGGGGAATGGGGGAAGGAAGATGGAAGGTGCAGAGGAGTGTGCAAAGACCTTGGTTTTATCCATACTTCAGAGAAGCACCCCTCTGTGCCAGAGCACAGTGGGGGAAAAGTTCTGCACTCTGGCAGATGCATAAAACCATTATCTACAAAGTAATACTTCCTACAGCAATAATAAACCACCGTGGAATTCCTCTTGCAGCTCCCAAATCAACCCTGGCTCAGCCTGGAAAGTGTCCAGGCCCTCCTCAAACAGCCTACCAAGCTGGGTGAGATATCCCAGCAAAACAACACAGGAATGACCCTATCTGTCACTGTTCTACACCTTCCACTAGCCATGGCCAGCTCTGCAGAGGGACAGTGCCCTGTCCCCATGTCTCTTGTGCAAAAATCCCAGCACGGAGTGTGTGATTCACCTCCAGAACCAAGCAAAACAAGCTGGGAGGGTGCTGAGTGGATTATGTGGGACAGTGTTCCTGTGTCCCACAAGGCAAACTGGTGCCTTTGCTTAGGGCAGACATCCCCAGGCCATCAGCCCCCTTGAAAAATACTGCAGGTAAAAGCAATGAAAGTCCTTTCCTTGACTGAGACCACCAAATTCATGATGTTGGTGCAGACAGAATAAAACAGCAGAATAAAGCAGCAGCATGCTTAGAAGTGCTGCTCACACGGCTCAGAGGGCTAGAATGTCTTCTTTTGAGAATGACAGATCATCAATGTCTGTGGCCTGGTCCTCCCCATTGCCTCAGGCATGGGCCATCACCAAGGCTTAAGAAAGACAAAGTTTTGTTTAGGAGCGACTGGAATAGGCTGCCACATCCCAAAGCCAGGTTGGCATGAAAAAAACAAATCTTTATCTGCCTGGCAGCAAGCTGCTGGCTCAGAGGACAGGTTTAATACCCCTGAGGTTTAGATTATTTGCTCAGCCATGGGGATGCCCCATTCCACAGCATTAACTCCATTCATCCTCTATCACCAGCTCCTCCCATGGCACCATCTTATTTCAGGATAACCATGCCCAGCACATTTGCCCCCTTGCCTGAGCTCCCAAACCCCAGGTGCATAAATCACCTGACATGTGATCTGTGCATGGGAAGCTTTTTCCCTCCCAGAGACAGCCACAGGGGCACCTGGGCAGCACGTCCAGCAGCTCTTCTCCTGGTGGCTGCTGTCTGGGTCCAGAGTGAGCCCTGTTTCCTTCCCAGAGCAGCATGTGTGTGCCAGCCGGGGCCACATGGCTGCGCCGGGCCCTCTGCCCTTCCCACCACCCCTCCACTGGAAAGTATTCCCCGCCTCTTCCCTGCCGGCAGCCCGGCACGCCAGTTCGAGTTTCACATCAGGATTCAGGAGGGGAAAAAAAGATTCCTCCCTCCCACAGAAACCATCAGCTTTTCCAGCAGCGCGTCTCCACCATGTCTGGGCTGCGCCTTTGCCAGCGAGGGGGGTCTCAGCCCTTCCTGCCACCAGCCTGCAGCACACCCAGGGCTGAGGGGTGGCCTGAGGCTGTCCCAAAACTGGCAGCCACCTGGGGCCACCAGCCTGCTCCCATCTGCTCTGGGACACCCTCGTCAGCTGTGGCACGGCTCACTCAACAACTGCTGCTGGCCAAGTGGCTGTAGCCTGGGATCCTGGTGGATCTGGAGAGATGGTTCTCAAGGAGGACACGGGTAATGTTGCTCATCTGTTAGGAAATATTTCAAGGGCTTTGCGTGAAAGGCACTGAGCTACTCAGCACACGCATTTTATCCCTCCAGTGCGCATCAGAGCAAAGGCTGAGCAGAGGGAAAATTTCTCGCTCACCGAAATTGTGCCTTTCAAAGAGTCTTTACTTCATCCCTCTGGCACCCTGGGCAGGATCTCCTACACCCCATGCCTTGGCTGTGTCCTCATGTGGCAGAGAGAACCTCCCAACAGCTACTGTGCCATTCCTGTGTACCCAAACCCAAGCAGAGTGCTGTCCCCTCCACCATACCAAACCTTTCCCAGCATGCAGGACAGTCAACAAGCAGAGAAGAAAGGAGCCTGGTGTATCCTTTCCATGCCCAGTTTTCCCCCTGGCTCTATCATGGTATTGGCCGAGCTTTACCTGAAGACGGGTGAGCCTGGTATTCTTAATTGTGCGTTTCAGGCAGTTTTACCTAGGAGATGCATTTACCTTTGAATATCCCATCTTAAAACTCAGAAAACCTCCCCCGTGCCACTCACCTGACCCCCATTTTGCAGTCCATAACACAGGGGGAGTCAAACTCAGCCAGCAGATCTTCCATCTGGTTGTATCTCTCCCCATCTTTGACCACATCTCCGTGGTAGGCAGGGACATAGGGCTTCAGGACATCGTTCATGAGGCGGTCAAGGCACCGCTGCTCCGATTCACAGTGCTTCTTCAGGATCCTGCCATTGGCCGCCGCCTTGAAACTACCTGAGGGGCACAAGGGACAATGTGGCACTTGCTTTGGGTGGCAGGGGGACAGGAAGGGCAGCCCAACACCTTGGGAGCAGCTCCATTTACACCTGCACCCAAGGAGTCCCTACAGGCAGGGACTGAAAAGCTCAGGTTGCCAGAGGTTTATGAGCAGCACTGTCACACACCAAGAAGGCAGAGACCCCTCCTGCAGCACCCACCATGTTTGCTTCACATCTTCTGTGCACTTTCCTCCAGGCTCACATCTTTGTGTCTATGCTCATGTGTGGGGCACCTTTGTGCTGGGCAGCATCACCTGCTTGGCAATGGGTCAGGAGCTGGGCCTGGCTCTCACCCAAAGCACCCAGGAAAAAGCAGCAATAATTCCTGCTGGCCCTGGAGACTGAAAGCTCAGAGCACCTTCACACTACCCTCACCAGCATTTAGATTAAGTCACTCTCCTGGGCTAGAGACTGGGAGCTGCAAGCTGTGACACTCATGCAGCAGCCTGAAGCAATTGAGGCCAACAAAGCTCATTAAGCTGGGATAATGAAGGGCCCTGCCCCCACTCTGTGCCTCCCCATGCTCTGTACCTGCATGTCCCGCTAGCTGGATCCAAGGGTACTTCTTCTTGAAAGACATCACAAACGGGGACCAGTGCACCATATTCTTGATCTTCCTCCATGACTTGCTCTGAGGGGAAAAAAAATCATGAAGGTGAATGCAATGTTTTAAGCTTTTACTGTCTGTAAAGTCACTTCAGGCAGCACGCAGCTGTTCTGGACAGGGAAAGAGGCACGAGAGCCAGCGCAGGATGGAAGCAAACAGAAAATCTGCTCTTTTCCCATTGTGCTGTGCCAAGCCTCTGGGCCTCAACTCTACATTCAAAAATCACGAGTAACTTCACTGAAGTGGATGGTGTTACAGCGTTGTTCCAGTTGGCTGCTGCTGCTGCAGAGCGCCCAGCCATCCGCACTGCCTCGTCCCTGCTGCTCCCTGCATCCCTCTGTGGAGCAGCAGGGACATTAACCCATCCCGGGGCACTGCACCACAGGGACATTGACCCATCCCTGGGCACTGCAGGGACATTACCCCATCCCTGGGCACTGCATTAGATCGCAGCAGATGGAGAGGGAAGGCAACCCAGGACTGCCATCCAGCCACAAAACCGAGCTGCAGGTCCTGAGGGGAACAAGAGCACAGGCACACAGAGGCTCCCTGCCTGGCTTTTGTTCCCCCTGAAAGGCAGCTGCTGTGTCCATTAAGCTGGCAGCCCACGTGTGCTGATCCGCCCGCTCTGGCCCATCCGTAACTACAGTTCAGAGAACAATTCCCTGCTGACACGTTGTGTTTCTCACCAGATAGATTGCTCAAAACTATTTACATGGCTCTAACGAAGGCTGCACTGGACGGCACAAATGGCTCCTTCCTGCGAGTTTTTCCCTGGATTGTTCTAGGGAACACACCACCAGCAAAAGGCAGGGGATGACCTCTTATCTTGGCCCCAGAAGGTGACGGCACAAACAAATTATGTGAACGATATACAAGGGCAACAATGGAAAAATGCCTTCTTGCAGGAGCTGGGACAAACAGTGTAGTCCTTGGCTGCTCCAAGCTCCTGGGTTCAGCTGGAAGCCAGCAGATAAATTATCCTCATTTGCTCCGCTGTGAAGGCATGGGAGGGAGCCTTCCAGAAAGCCCAAGTAATCTCTTCCTCGTGTTTGGAGAACTGGCCCCTGTTCCAGTAATGCTTCACAGACAGGCAGGGAAGAGCCAGCAGCCCCAACTTGCAGTTTGGATGCTTGCTGGGGGTGAACTCACAGCACAGGAATCCGTGCTGGGAACTGCTGACATGTTTAAATGGCGAGCAGCAAGAAGCCAGACAGAGATGTTCGTGTCTAAAGCGTGGAAATTACACCAGGGTTATCCCATGCACCAGCCCACCAGGGAGCAGGGAGATGCAGGGTGGGCAGCACAGGAGTGGGAGAGGGGAAGAATCAAGGTCTTTCCCCACCTCGCAGCCTGGGAGGAGCAGGGCAGCCCTTCCCTGGAAGGCTGCCCGTGGCCGGGAGCGTCCCAGCACAGCCTGGCACTGGGACAGCCTTGCAGGAGTTTGGCAGCAGCTGCCCAAGCACGGGGTGACACCGGGCATCCCCTTCTCCAGGGCTCCTCCACGCCGAGGGCTTGCTTGCTTTGGCAGGGGGGTCGGGCAGTTCCCTACCTGACATGAGGATGAATGTTTTTATTTCCACACAGAGTGCCAGAACTTGTGTGTTTTAGCTGTTCTTTGTTCTCCTTCTGGCAGAGAGCTAAGGGGAAGCGGGGGGGTGTCCCCTCCTTTTGTTTTTAAAATAGTAACATCAAGTCCTGGCTGATGTCATGAAAAAAGGGGGAAGAGAAAGTCTCCGGGGGAGTTTGGACTCTAAAGGAGTGTGACCCACCTCCTCTAAAAGAAGGAGTCCTCCCCTCACTTGCAGCACAGCATCGTAAGTCACTCAGTCCCAGGAAACATGCCAAGGCAATGTGCCTTCCCAAGCCAAGATTTTGGTTGATGGTGGTTAGAGCTTTACAGTTAAAACCTTGAGGTACTTCAAGGTACAGGCAGAATGGAGGCAAACAGTCCCCAAAGCAGGGCAAGCCACTCTGGCTTCCCCCTGCCAGGGCTTTCCCAGCAGTGATGCTCTCCATTCCAGCACTGCTCCCAGGGTAGGATAATGACCCTGAGTCCCCTGGAGACACAAAACTCAACAAAAACAACCCTTCTGCTGATCTGAACGGGTCAGAGAGCCAGTCACTCAGCACAGCCACCCGAGGAACAGGTAGCACGTCCTCACCCCCTCTATGCCAGAGGGAAATGTTTTCACCCAGGCCTCACCTGGTTTCAGGCACACCTTTAGTCAGGTATTTCCAACCCAAGTTTTAAGGACATGTGTAACAACTTCTTTTATGGTGAAACTTGAGGCAAGCTTCATCCATTTCAAGCCACTCCCAGCCTGCTGGAAATCGACTGCAAGGTCAGTTGTCACTGCTGCAGGGGTGACCCACAATTCTGATTCACAGAGCCCCTTTCTCCCTGCTTCTCACAGGGGTAACCACTGGACCCTAATAGGGGAGAAGAGGGACTGTTGTCCCTCTGATTCCTTCAGGAGCCACTGGATTTTTGTTTAACAACTGAGCCCCCTCCCAATGAAGTAAGGAGAAGTTTGCTTCACCAAAAGAATGTTGCTGTGTTGTGGCAGTGCTCAAAAGGCTGAGTATTGCAAGGTGCAGGTCCCCTACTAAACCAGCAGCTGCATGACTCCATCTGATCTCTGGGACAGGCAGCAGAGGGGATCCCAGAGGAGCAACACTGGCCAATGCCCCCAGGGATCCTGCCACTCCCTTTGCCTGAAGATAGCAAAATTCTCCCTAGGTAGAGTGTTGCTCCAGAAAGTCAGCCTTTGTACTTTCCCTTGAGCCCCAAGAGAGATGGGAGGTGGCTTTTAACCATCTGCAGGGTGGTTCACCATATCCTTCACCCTGGCAAGAGGTCTCTGTTTATTCAGACACTGATGTGCAATCAGAGATCTCAAAGCCCAGGGTTTGGGATCCTGGCCATGCCAACCCTCATGTCAGGCTCTGCAGCCAGCCATGGAAAACCAGAGCCACAAGGTTCACACCACTCCAGTCTCACTCCACAGCCACATGCAGGAAACAGCCCCTCCACTGCCTCCTGCCCTGCCTGGTGCTATTAATAGACAAATTGAGTATTAAGGCTATTTACAGTAAAGAAATCTTCTTTAACACTGTGTCAGCCTGTTGGGAACCATAAGGTAGTCACCTCCAGGCTCTGTAGTAGTCTGTAACTTTTGGTTTACATTCCAAGGAGTTATTTGCTCACACATCCAGGAGCACAGGCACAGCTGTAGGTGCATGGAGGTGTGGTAACTCCCTGGACTCAAAGGATTTTTCACCATACTGAAAGAAATAGCTCTGCAGGTGGCATTACCAAGTATGCAGCTGAAGGGCAGATCCGTGCTCTTCTCATCTGCCTGCAAGGAGCTGAACCTGCAGGTGGTCATTTCAAAAGGTGAGCACATTTCCAAGCCTTTTGCATGATCAAAGCCTGCACCTGATGTGGCACCCTGGCTTCCAGCTCTCCCCCAAACCCAGCCCTTTGCCTCCCAGAAAACTCAGGAAGCTGTGTGGACTGACTGCACTCTTGCACAGGCAGCAAGAGCATGGAACCTGTATAAGCAGGGAATGTGCACGAGGTGTCTGATGCAATTCAACACTTTTTATTTAAAACCTGGTTCAGCATCAGCAAATGCCAACTGATTAGCTGTTAAGTAAATTATTTAGTGACTCTGGAAATATATTTAGCAAGGAATGGCACTGTTTTCCCTAATAGTCTGCCACATGGAAAAGAGACTCAGCAAGTGCAGAACCAACTCTAAAAAATAACTTCTCAGGGTTTCTGCAGCACTCTGCTTCTGCCTCTGCCCTCTTACAGCTTTTGTTTACCACACAGAGCAGTATCCCAAGCCAGGAGTGGGATACAGGCCAGAGGAGTTAATCCCTCCCAGTGAGCACCCACAATTGGTCAGGGGGAGAGGAGTGCTGGCAAAACAATTTTATCGGCTGTATGTTTAACTTTACTTATCTGAAGCTTAAAGCAAACTCTAGGCTTTCCCCATCTGTCAATAGAGGTTCGTATGGAAAGAACAACACAGGAGAATTTAGTGCCAGTGCAGAAGGTCAGAGGACATATTGTGTTTAATTAGATTAAACAAAAAGTGACTGATGAGCTCAGTGCCTGCTGTACATTTTCTCTATTGCATATTTATTCCTTTAATGTCTGCTCAAAGGAGATGTGCCTTTCTCAGACTGCCTGTGGCCTCCCTTTCCCAGCATGGACACTGGTGGAATTTGACTGGTGTTATTCCCCATGCATGGAGCCAGCAGGGTGCTCGTCCCTTTCCATGCATTCAGCCAGAGAGATAGGCAGTAACTGATTTAATTTGCTGAAATTATGCTTTCCTATGGTTTTATGGGACCAAATGCTCCTGGAAATAGTAGGAGCTGGACCTGTATTTTAGTGCTTTTTATTAACATGGTTAGAGGCAAGATTACACAGCTGGGCCAGGGGATGGAAAAGAGTGGGAGCAGCATTAAATTAATGATTTTCCCAATTGTGAAAAGAGCTTCAGCTCCTTTCTCCCAGAAAAATAATGAAATATCCTAGGATCAGAAGAGATGCAGGACAACTATGAGGAGACAGTAGTGTCACCAATGCCCACTGCTTCCCCAAGTTTCACTAGGGTTGCTGCAGTCCAGGGACTTGAATAAGTGAGACCCTGGCTTCCAGATTTTCTAGGAAGTGACATGAAGCTGTGCTGTTGCAGGCTCCAAGATGTTTCATTCACAGCTAGGAGGGTCAGGTGGCCAGAGCCTTTCTGATTTAAAAAAGCAAGGCAGCAAGGACTGAGAAGGGCAAACTTTGCTCCACAGAGCCCTCCTCTTTAGTAACTAAATGAGTGGAGGGAACTTTTGCCTGCAAAGTTCCCTCCGTGCCAGCCCGCTCCACAGCCATGCACATCCAGCCAAGGAAAAAGAGGCCATTTAGTTTTCCATGTTTAAAAGAATGAATGTGTTTTCTTTTGCTCTTTAAAAAGTAGTTAAGGTTTCCCTAGTGATGATTGTTTCCCTTGACT